AATTGGATTCTCTCTGTCTCGCTCTCCCTTTAAAGGGCCGAGCAATTCCATTGACGAATCGAGGATAACTCGAAAGGGGTTCCCGAGCGCCGGCAGATGCTGCGCGTCTCCAAGGACTCGCGGCGGGTACAAAGGACAAGAGGATGGCTCTTGTTAAAGAGTCGTCGAGGGCGAGATCCCGTGCCTAGCCGCAGATTAAACGCGGCTTAATTCGCAGATTAACAATGGAACGTACTCGCGGAGTTCGTTGATTCCGGTTAGCCGGAAACCGAGATCGGATGCGGCTCGAGCGTATCCAATCGCGCCTCGGTTAATCGAGAGACATCTCCGAGAATCTCGTGAGAGCAGTCACCACGTCTCTTCAAGCAGTCCTTTACTTATCCTTTACAAAACACCTTGTTTCCCGGAGACATATTTTTTTTCTTGAATAAAACCTTCCGAGAACTATAGATTCGAAGGCTATCGCACGCATAAACAAAGATCATCAATCACTGCCGTAGCTAATCATGGTTTGCTGAAAATGCATGTTTATTGCTGTGACTAATTTTCCGCTGCAACTGAAATTACTTACTACTGCTGCTAGTACGTCGGTTTTACTGCTAAATATGTGTCTACTGGCAGCTGTACTTTTAAGTTTCCATATATCACGACAATATTTAGTTATCACACACAGATTCTTGTTACCGTGGCTAATGTTTTCTCTTTTTTTTCTTTTCCGTGCGGCATTCGCGCCGTCTCACAGTGACAACTATCCAACACGTACCACTTCTACTTTCCTCTCAGCGCGGTGTTGGGCCAGTTCTCCCTTAATCGCGATCTCGATATAACCGTCACTCGAGAAATCTCTTTGAGGAGGAAAAGCCATTATTACGACGACGGCCGAGTGCCCTCGCACGATGCGCGTCGCGAACGGTCGAAGGGCGGCGAGCCAGACCGGGTTTCTTCGTGCTCATTCTCGGTGAGATTCACGTGTTCGCCGATGACGATTATGTCGTCGACGAACTCCGCCCTAGGTCCTGCGGCGGGACAGAAGAAGGTGGAGGGTGCGGACGAGGATACGCGCGGCCGAGCGGAAGGTTATAATTGTCGCGGACAGAACCGTATTCGAAAGCCGCGGTGCACAAGGGCGCCGCGGGACGCCATTATGTGCAACGGCCAGGTGTCTTGTCGACACCTCAAAGAGCCTACGCCGCTTCTCTCGCGGGACCGCAATATTTGGCCGATTTGTGCATGAAAAACGATATATTCTTATGGACAAGAAGGGCGACAGGCAGGGGGATGAAAGCTGACTTCTCCTTGTCGGCTTCCGCGTCTCCCTTCTTGTGTGGTTTTCTCTCGATTCGAGAGAACCACCGCGAACATAATGAGGGTGAGAGATTCTTCAGAAGGCGCCGCCTCAAGTTTCGTTCGCGCGCGGGGACATCCAGCTACGCGTGTACTTTGACCTTCATCGCGCGATATGGCCAACTCTCGAAAGATTGTCACCCTCGAGATAACGACACTTGTTTTAGTCTCTCCAAAGGCACTGTTTGCTCAACGTTGGCGTCGCCACGCAGAAAAGCACTTCTTGCCAACTCCTCGCTAACATTTACGCGACAATCTCTACCGCTCATTATCACTGTTATCGGTATTGTAATAACCGTGGCAAGTGTTATTAACCCTTTCTGCACCGTGGATCCTTTTCGCAATTTAGCGGACTCCTCTCTCTACACCCTCTCGGGATTAGTGTAATGCCCTCGCATGCGTACATTTGAATAAAATACATAGGATTGCAAGGGAAACCTATCATGTTGAGTTGCAATTTAAAAAAATATTGAAGAAACAAATACGTGGTTGAATTCGTGATTTCAGCAAAGATCCCGTTGAAACAGATCCACGAAGGTACGAATCTTGAAGTCGAATGATATAAATACACTGAGAAAAAAACTTGCAAAATAATCTGCGGGATATAAAGTTTATTTCTGCGAAGTAGAATTTATTTCTGTGAAACAAAGTTTGTTCTTATGAATACTTGTATCTCACGAATAAATTTTCATGTATTTCCTCCTCGGTGTATAAAAGAGAAAAAATTGTGTCTATTATTACAGCTCATATTCTATAACTATTATTTTTGTGCAATCACAACAAATCAATTGTCTGAGGGATTCTCTAACATCGAAATTTTTAAAAATGTATCAAATCGTGCTGGTCTCCTCTACTTTTAATTTTCAAACATGTCAGGCAAACGCGCGCGTGGATTCGTATACACGCAACATTACGCGTATGTGCGCACGCATGAGTGAACAACGCGATGAAAGGAAGTTCGACGGAAGATGATGTTACAATTTGCGAGAGTCTAGTCGAGACCGCGCGCGAGAGCACACGAGGAACATTAGATTTACGCTTCGCTGGATACCGATGCCGAACATCAAAGGGAAGAGGAGCTCTCGTCCTCGCAGAAGCTGTGCGCGGAACCACGGCTCTCTCTCTCTCTCTCTCTCTCCCTCTCTCTCTCTCTCTCTCTCTCTCTCTCTCTCTCTCTCTCTCT